TATTTAATAAACGTTCAAAATTTCCATTTCTTGTTTATTTTTGATATCTCATAGAAATTTGTCCATGTCATCTAAATTATTTATTTGCCTTAATGTGATTATTTTTATTTGAGCATAGTATCCTGAATGAGGCTACTTAAAAATTCCCATTGTAGAATGTGTGTCCCTGTCAAGGACTATAATAAACCTCACCCACCCACGGCTCAGGGACTATTGCAAAAGCAGAGTAGGGGGAGATTGCAAGAGCCAGGGTTGGTCCATAAATATAGGGCAACAGAGGCTTTCAGGCTGCTGGAAGCCTGCTCTCATGAACTTGCAGCAATTCTGGCACCTTACAGGACCCATGCCTACTTAAGCAGCCAAGGGCCTAGACTGGAGAGAGAGAAACGGTCAGTGGACTGATTACCGCTGGGTGAGGGAGAATAGATATTCCTTGAGATATCCAGATAACCTGACTAGATTCCAGTGGATGAAGTTTCACTGAAAGACATCTGGATACCAGTGCTTGACTGGGTAGGACACAGACTTAAAAACGTATGACAGAACACACGAGGTACAGTGTGTACATGGGATTATGTGGGGGAACAGAAGGGAAGGGTGTCTAAATTTGACTAAAAAGTATTGTATGAAATACACAAATGCTCAATAAAAATATTTTAAAAATAGGGCCTGGAGAGATGGCATCAGGGTTAAGAGCTCTGGCTGCTCTTCCTGAGGACCCAGGTTCCATTTCCAGCGCCCACATGGTGCCTATCTGTAACTCCAGTTACAAGGGAATCCAAAGCCCTCTTCTAATCTCCACAGGCATTGCAGGACACAAGTGCCCTTACATATATGCAGGCAATGCACTCATACACAGAAAATAAAAATAGTAAATAAAAAATATAAAAACATTTTAAATATTTATTTATTCATTTATTTATTTATTTATTTATTTATTTTGCTGCTTTCATTTCCAAGAATCAGCACTGGTTCTTCATAATTTCCCTATAAGTTTTTATGATTTAATTTAGTTTTTCTTTTTGTCTTTTTGAGACAGGTTCTTCCTGCAGCCCCAGAATGCCTGGAACTTGCTATGTAGACCAGGCTGACCTCAATCTCACAGTGATCTGCCTGCTTCTGCCTCCCAAGTGCTGGAATTAATGTATTGTGCCACCAAGCCTGGCTAAATTATTATTTTTAAAATACATGTTTATAGTTCTCTTTGCGTAATTGAATTTAGATATTTCTTCTTTTGTAATTTTAACATCTAGAAAAATAACATTATGATGTTACTGGTTGGATAAATTTTTAAAAAATTTCTCAATTTTATTTCCAGTATAATTTAGTTCAACCATTATCTGTAATTGTCTTTGAAAGCGTCAATCATGGGACTGACAGATGGCTCAGCAGTTAAATGATGTGACTGCTCTTGCAGAGGACCCAGGCTCGATTCCAATACCCTCATCATCCATAACTCCAGTTCCAGGGGATTGGACACTCTTTTCTGACCTCCTTAAACATTGCATGACAGGGGCGCACTTACATACATGTAGGGATTACAGTCATACACATAAAAAAAAGTGTCAATCATCTGAATTATTTAGATCAAATGGTTAATTTCCAATACTTAAATACTTTGAGGTAGTTATATTTATTCTTAATTTAGTTATACTGTAAAAAGCACTTTGTATGATTTGAGAATTAAAAAAAAATTTTTTGTGGTTTACTAATTGGTCCAGTCATTAATGATCACATAAACATTGAAAATGAAATATATGTGGTATACATTCACTATAAATTAATGTTTGTTTATAGTATTTTCAAACTCTGTAATACACTTATTTATATTTTCTGTATATTCTATCAGTCAATGAGAAAGTTTTAATATTTTCAAGTTCTATTTTTAGGTATATTTATGACTACTGGTTTGTCTTTTTGCTTCAGAGTTTGATTCAACATTGAATTTGATACTATAAGTTTCACATGTTGGTGCATTTATCAGTATTGTTGTGAATTGTTTTTTCTTTTCTCTTTTGTCCCATGTTCTATAGCAGTTCTGTTATAGTAATATAGTTATATCAATTTTCTGCTTACCCACTGAATTACGAGCATTTGAATTAGGACCTAGTTGGGTCTTATTTTATCCAATTTGATTATTTCAAACTTTTGTTTAGAGCATTAGGTTATTATTTATTACATTTAGATTTAACTGTTTTACATAATTTACAATCACATTTATTTTGAGTACATATGGTTATTGTGACATACATATTCAGTGTGGACTGACTGATTAAGACAGCCATAAAGGTCAATACATAAAATGGTTCCACCTAAGTGTAACCTTGTCCGTTGAAACCATATCATTCTGTTCTTCTCAAACCCCAATCCTAATAAATGTCATTCTTAGCTCTGCTTCAGTTAGTTCAGCTGACTATTGCTTTCTGTGTGACCAATATGTCCTCACATAACCCCCATTATAGCTTTCTTGTATATGAGTGAAATATTCATAAAAAGTTGGTTGTTAGTTCTTTTCTTGTTCCTGTTTAAAACACCTTGAAAATTGCAACATAGAGGAAAAAGTGTTTATTTTGGTTCACAGTTCAACGTTACAATCCATCATGATGAATATCATGATGACAGAAGCTCAAGGAAGCAACTGGTCACTTTGCATTTGCAGTCAGGAAGGAAACAGCAGTGAGTGCTGGTGCTCAGCTAGCTTTCTTGTTTTAAAATCCAGGACCTAAGCCCGTGGAATAGTGCTTCTCCTTTAGTGTGGGTCTTCCAAATCCAATTGATTAATTCTAGAAAATCCCTCACAGGTAGGCTATATTAAACAAGAATGGAGGCAATGTACACCCTTGTCTCATTCTTGACTTTAGAATAAAGGCATTCAATGTTTCTGAATTTAGTGTAATGGAAGCTAACCGTAATTTACAGACTTTACTAAACCATGCTCTGTTATTCATACTTTCTTCATAGCTTCCATCATGCAGGCATGTTGAACTTTGTCAAGCACTGGACCTCTTCTGCATCTATTCAGATGGACTATGTGAATATGAATCTTGAGTCTATTTAACAAATACTTTTAATATTGCTTACTTATGTGTGAGTGGTTGAATCTAAGTGCACCATGTGCATGCAATGCCCACAGAGGCCAGGAGAGGGCATCAGATCCCCTTAACCTTGCATTAAGGATGTGGATAAGCCAGCATGTGAGCATTGGGAACCCAACCATGGTCCTCTGGAGGAATAGCAAGTGCACGTAACTGCTGAGCCATCTGTCCAGCAGTCTCCTCAGGTCAATTTATCTGCCATATTACACTTATTCACTGGAATAATTGAAACATTCTTGCATTCCTGGAATGAGAACAACTTAACATCATGAATTGCCATCCTCTGAATGCACTGGCAAATTCAGCTTGCAAGTATTTTATTAAAAACTTTTGCATCTATTTTTGCAGAATAATTGTTCTGCAGTTTTTATTCTGTCCTTCTGTGACAGGATAATATTTCTTTCAGAGAATGGCAGTGAAAGCATATCTTCCTTTCCAGTTTTATGCAATAGTTCAAACAGCATCAGTGTTAGTTCTTTAAAAGTCAGATGGATATGGGTGCCAGTTTGTCTGCTTCTGGGCAATTATTTATTGGGATACTTTATTACTACTTGAATAATATCCTACTCTAAATTTCATGAGTTATAACCTTTTAATTTAATCTTGATATTTTGTATGTGTAGAATTTATCTACGTCCTGTGGATTTTATATTTTTGTCTAATGTCTTTCCAAAGTATTCCGTAATGATCATCTCTACTTCATTCTTCTCTTTATAATTTACTCTTTGCACCTCAAATATTATTCATTTTGGCCTTTTCTCTCTGTATTTCATTACTTTGGTATTGGTTTGGCAAACATTTATTTTTTGGAGAACCAAATCTGTGTTTCTTTGTCTCTTTGTAACATCATTTTGCTCTCAATTTCATCAATTTATCCTCCATTTTTATTTATTTCTGTCTATCTACTGATTTGAGTTGGGCTTCTTGCTTTTATAAGAACTTAACATGTGTCCTTAAGTTATTTAGATGCTTTTTCTGAAATTATAATGTAAGTACACACTGTAAACCTCCATCTTAGAAAAGACTTTGCTGTTTCCTAAAGGTTTTGATAAATATATTTTCATTTTCATTTGATTTGAAGATTTGATATTTTTCCTCTCTAGTTCTTACATGACTCTCTGATCATGTAATAATAAATCATGGATTTATTATTCAATTTCCATGTATACTGTATTGTTTCTGTAGTTTGCTATTGATTTCTAATTTTATATCTTGGTATTTCAAAAGATACAATAGCTCATTACAATTTTATTTATCTCTTGAGGCTTTCTTTGTGGCCTAAATACATTCTATTTTTTGAGATATAAAGTTAAAGATTCTATTTATTTTTTTGAAAAATATAATATTTCAGTAAAAATAACAGTAAAAATATCAGTGTGCCATTGACAAACTTGAATATCTATGGAAGTTGCATCTTAGAAATGCTATCATTTACTCACATTCATCTTGCACAAAGAATATTTTCCTTTGTCCACTTATCTTTCTTTGGTTACCTATACCATAAGATGGTGGAGAAAAATAAGGAAATCTTATTAATCTAATAAACTTTATTTATCTGGTAATAAACCAGATATCCATGCATGGAAAAATTCCTACCACTTTAAGCATTCTATTAAAGTTGATACAAAACTTCCTCTATGGACAGATCATTTATTTCTATGTACTACATAATCATGATATCATTAGATAACAAGATGTAGACTGTTCTTAAGGACATTTATAAAACAGTACATGACTGGACAATTTTTAATCTTTAAAAATATAATTCAATGTGCAATATTGTGTCACAAAAACAATAAGAATGGAGTAAAATAATTCTACAATTATATTAAAAACCTAAGGAGGGAGATTTAAGTAACAGAAGTGATTCTAATTTTATTCACATTTCTGCAGATAGGAGTCACAATGACTGAGACAATGACCAACATGACAAACTACATGGAATTTTTGCTCATGGGATTCCCAGAAGGCCAAGTGCTGCAGACACTGTGCCCCACACTCTTCTCCCTGATTTACATGGCAGCACTAATGGGAAATCTCCTCATTATCATCCTCACCACCATAGACCAGCATCTCCAATCTCCCCTGTATTTCTTTCTGAAGAATTTGTCCTTGATTGATATCTGTTATATCTCTGTCACAGTTCCCAAATCCATCACGAACTCTGTGACCAAAATCCACTCAATCTCTTTCCTGGGGTGTATTGTACAGGTTTTTTGTTTTGTATTTTTGACAGGCACTGAGTTTTCCCTTCTTTTGGTGATGTCTTATGACCGCTATGCTGCCATCTGCCTCCCTCTGCACTATGAGACCATCATGAATAGAGCTGCCTGTGTGCAGATGGTGGTTGCAGCATGGCTCAGTGGGTGTTTCTATGGGTCCCTTCATGCTGCAGGAACATTCTCTGTCCATTTCTGTGGTCCCAATATAATTCATCAGTTCTTCTGTGATATTCCATCACTTCTCACACTTGCTTGCTCTGGAGAAAACATTCTAGAATATGTGTTTATCATTACCAGCTGTTGTTTTCTTTTCTTGTGTTTTATATTAATGGTTATTTCCTATGTTCACATAGCCTTATTTCTTTCATCTGGATATTTTGCATACTTAGGCCCAACATCAAACTCTGCATCATCATTGAACCTGCTCATGTCAGTGTTTTACTCTCTGTTACCTCCCTGCCTAAATCCTGTGATTTATAGCTTGAGGAACAGGGATATGAAAGTGGCCCTATGCAGCATTTTAGGTGACAAAATGACACAAATCTCTAAATATTGAAAATATTAGCTACTTGTTACTAAAGTGTATAAAATGATCAACTATTTCAACCCTATGTTAACTTTATTAGATACCTGATGTATTATATCGTTTTTATAAAAAATGACTCATTTTTAAATATTATATGGGTGACCATCAGAGACTTGTGTTAGAAATTTTCAGTGCAACAAAAATCTTCCAAACATCATGGCCATATCAATAGACTATAGGCTTACAGTAATTTTTTACTTTATAGCCATATATTCACTATGTTTTTCAATATTGAGTTTTTATGAATCAAAAATTGAGATATTTTAATGTTTTCTCTAAGTGTTTTTCCTCCTTTGATTCTTGCAGCATTTAAAATGGAAATTAATTACTAATATACAACATTTTAAAAGATATTTTTTCTCATCTAAAATGGAAATGTATCTTAAAAAATTTAAAGATTATTTCATTAGTTAAATAAAGATGTCTTAGTTATCATCTTGAAAATACAATAATTATACTTATCTTTCTGAGAGTTGTGGGGAGTGTTAATAACAGTTGTTCAGGGCCATCCAAATAATGACACATTAAGAGTAGTGACAGTGGAGATTTCTATGGTAAATTACGAGGAGAGACTTGGGAATTCTTTCAATCAAATTAGTAAAATGGCACATTAGAAGGCACTCGTATATAAGACTGTCCCTCAAGAAATACTTTCTAATTATAGATATGAATATGAAGGCAATGCTATAGAGTGCTTTCAAGGAGGAAGGGAAACCTCTTCACCTGTCACCAAAGTCGTGTAAGAGAGTGGAATCTGTAAATATGCAATGAGCCCTACCTTTCCAGGCAGGCACTTAAAATGCTTGCAAACTAAACACATCAGAAGAGAAGAAAAACTGTAAGTCTTCATACATGTGAAATATATATATGAATATTTCATAATTTTTATAATGTGCATTCCAAAATAGAAGCAAGAAAGTTAACATGTGAAAGGGGAAATTATGACCAATAATTCAAGGCTTAATATGCTAGATTGAACACATCTGTGTACCTTATCTCCTTATAAATTCCCCACAAATATTAATGTTATTTTGAAAAACATAAAAGATGAAAGAAAGAGAATAATTGTTTTTATTTGGCTGGCATTTGTAGGCCAGTGAGGAAATGGCTGAGCAATAACTGGCCTAACAGAGCAAAGCAAGCTGCAACATGAGTTGTAAGTGGTTAATGGGAGCTCAGAAGAGAATAGGTGTGCACTTCAGAGCTCCAGGAAAGCTCAGCAGTCATAGGAAGTATACTGAAAGTAGGAAAACTAGACAGAGCTTGTGGAAGGTGCAGTTTAGATGACCCCCTATTCCATGCAGCTCTTCCCTCATCCTGATAGAAGAGCAGTCTTTTTCTAATGGGAGGATGAACCTGAGCAACACTCTGTTCTAGCGAACGAAGCCTGGTGGAAATCAGTAAGAAAACACCAGAAAAAAAGACAGAATGAGGTGAAATCTGCATCTTTGAAGGTTAGGTCACAGCAGCTTTGGACCACTCAGCCTGGTGGTTAGGACTAGCTAGTCTTCCCAAGAAGCAGACAGCACGATTCTCTGGGGATTATGATGAACTCAAGAATGTGCTCACTGAGCTGGACGTGGTGGCGCATGCTTTTAATCCCAGAATTTAGCACTTGGGAGGCAGAAGCAGGTGGATCTCTGTGAATTCGAGGCCAGCTTGTCCCCATAGTGTATCCAGGCCAGAGAGACGGTGTCCAAACAAACAAACAAACAAACAAACAAACAAAAGATCTGGATGCTCAAAGTGGAATAAAAGAATAAAACCAGTAGTCCTGCCATGAAGCACAGTACTCACCTAGGCTTACCAACATAGAGCTAATAGCTACAGCATGTCCTGCAATATTTTTTATTGCTTTATTCTAAATATTGACAAACAACCAGAGACTATCAAATATTTAAAGAAAGAGTATAAAATGTGGAAACCAAAACCATTAGAGGCAATACAGGAGAAAGAATAAAAAATTTTATATCACAGCTGGTATGAATCTTTTCATAAATGGATTTTCTGTATGGAAAGACCTGCTAAGTGTCCAAGCCAATAAAGTAGAAGATTTCCATAAAGAAATGATATTAAAAATTTTAGATCACCATAAAAAA